TCCTTATCTTGCCACCCAAAGTGAGGGGATTATTTTTCAAAACCACTCTCATTCTTTATTGGGATGGCTTCTTTTAGTCAAGAATTCACTAACTAGAATTACATTGAATTGAAAATGACGTAGCTTTTCTTTTAGTCAAGAATTCATTTGAACAATTTAAACCATGCTCATGATGGAAATTTGACCAGAATCAGGATTCTTCGACACTGGTCATGACTAGAATTAGTTTACTTATTTTCTTCTCAAATTACAAGCTGTAAAGAAGCATATAATATTCAATATAAGCCACTATCTTATTAATTGTTTTAATATTTCAAATACCTTATTACTGATTTATTGAAAATCCATTATTACTTGATTTGCTTAAGCACCCCCAGCTTTCTTTCTAATCTAATATTTAACGTTGGTTGACTAGAGTAAGCTTTGTTCTAACTTTTGTCAATTTCTCTATGCTTTGTTTTGCTATATATGTAGTTTCACGGTAATTTTTGAACTAGATTTTTGCTCATTAGTTTAACCAATAAGAATTTCAGATTGTTTTGGAAGATGGCAAGTCAGAGCGAATCACTGTTATAAAAGAGAGGCCTGCATCCTCGCAGCATGCTTTAACGGAGTATAAAGTGATCAAAACTTCAAACGGTCAGTAAATAAATTCTCTAACAAGTAGCTTTTCACTTTATAAAAAGCAGTTTAGCATCTTTTAGGCTCTTTGAAGTGGCTGCGAGTAACACAGCGTTTTCAACCAATATGATCATGTTTATGTAGCGGTTTATCTGAAGTGCCAACCATTGTGGAACTTCACATTCACTATAGCCAGCATTCTTGACCTTTAGGGGCTGTTTGGTAGCAGGATTTAGGCCGAATTTGAGGCAGAATTGGGCGAAATCCAGCTAAACAGCCTAATAAAATGCAAAACCAAATCTCACGGCAAATGAAAGCCGCCGTAGGCGAAAAATTCCGCCTTCCGTGCTAAATCCTAGATTTCCCAAATTCTGCTTTTTGTCGGATTTACGAAATCCTCCGGCTCTATTGGCGCGGGAAAGAAGAAACTCCGCTCAAAATTTTCAACCTACTTAAATCCTGTATGGAATAGCCAAACTGTCACGTAGGATTTAACAGGATTTATCATGAATGTTACCAAACAGTTTTCAGAATTTAATCCCCTCAAGATTTCCTAAATCCGGATTTAAAGGATTTATGAAATCCTACTTAAATGAAATCCTGTGTGCTACCAAACAGCCTCTTACTTTTTCTTCAAATTTTTGTTCCCATTTACAGGCTATACATGGCTGGAGCTATGTCCCCTAACTGGTAGGAAGCACCAGGTACATTAAGACTGGAACATAAATTGCTCTTCTGCATTTCAACTATTGGGTTCGAAGGCTAATTCTTCCTCTACTTTCCTTCCCAACTTGAACAAACTAAGCTCCGAGTCCACTGTGCTGAAGTTCTCAGAACACCTATAGTTGGCGATTACAAGTACGGTTGGCATGCACACAAGAAATGGGAGCCAATTGTAATAGCTAAAACAGCAAAGCTCCCCAAAGAAAAACTTCCTTTTGGCCTCGACTTTGAAAGCGGAAGCATATCTGAGAAGCAGCCTCGCTTGCATCTTCACTGTAGGCAAATGATCCTGCCAAATATCGCTGAAGCTGTGCAGCATCTGGAGCCATTATCGACAACAAACTGTGACCTTGCAGGACTTGATGTGCTTGACTTGGTAGCTCCACTTCCTCCATATATGCTATTGAGTTGGGACATTCTCAGCTTTTAGCAATTATTATGTTGATTTTGACTTTGTTTGGACGGCTTTTTTATTGCTTCTTGAAATAACTTTCTACTACAAATTAAAAAATTTTGTATTGAAAAGCTATTTTAAGAAGCAATAAAAAATCGTTTCAAACGAAGCCTTTGTCTCTGATTATCTTAAGCCGGGTCATTTGGTAGCAAATGGTAGAATTAGGGAATGCTTTATGTAAGGTTCCATGTGGCCTTGGTAAACATACAAGCTTTCTTCTTGGGAAGGAAAAAAAAAAGTTTTCTAATCAGAACCCTATATTTCTTTTTCAGAAGACAGTATCCTTTGATTTGTTGATAGCAACATGCCTTAACAAAATAATTATTTGTATTCACCCATTTGTAATATGTTATGTGAAAATGAAACCATCATTGGATGGTTTGTGGAGTAAGAAGTTCATTCTAATTTTTAATTACATTCCATTCAATTAAATGATGGATTATGTCATATGTCATCATTTTCATTAGATATATCTCTAAATCTTAAAATTTTATAAGGGACATAAATTAGGTTTTGTGTGGGATGATTCTAGTTTTTTACAAAGTTAGTTGTGAAATTATTGTGGGGAAAGCAATTCATCTATTCTGTTTCCAACAATCAGTTTTTCATCTTAGACATTTTTAAAAAAATTATTAGAAAGCAACATATAAGTAGTAGTTAAATGAAATTGTGGTTGCTATTTAAAAGACAATGTGGCAAAAAGTTGACTTGAACGTGTTAAATTATTATGTGCAGTTACCGGATGTTGTTAGGAGGCCAATGAGGATGTGTCATATCACTAATTTACTGTGAGCCGTTATTGTGTATCGAGTGATGTGGCGCATCATGATTGGTTTTTAGACGGTTCAGTGATCACACGTAATAAGTTCTCCTTGAACATATCTTTAAATAATTATAAAAGTAAATCTATATAATATAAAAACAATCGTTTTATATTTTTTCATTTAATCTTAACTTAGGGTTCATATGGGATGACTATAGCTTTTTAAAAACGTGGTTCTAAAATTGATGTAAAGAAAAGAATTTTTTGGGAAGTCGTTTTAAAAAGTATTCCTCTAGTAAAAAAATTATTGAAAGTAAGAAAAAAATAATCATCAAATAAAAATTATGATTGCGATCTGAAAAGTAAAGTTTTAAGAAGACATTCCCAAATAAAGCATTTGCTCGATCAAATTCAAACTCCCCCAAATCCGAATTTGATTTGAGCCAAGCTCAGATTTCTTTCAAAAGTTGGTCTAATTTTTTATTGATCTCCAAATCAATTACACATTCCTATCTGTACATCTACCTTTTCAAACAAGCAATTTTTCAAAAATATATTTTAAAAGAAATAATTGTCTTTCATATGAACATATAAAATACCAAAATCCAACCAACTTTAACAAAATAAGAGAATAAATATGCATCTAACAAACTCTATCACCATAGAAGAAGACAGTCCATTAACAGAATATGACATTGCAGCATCCATAATTATTTCAGCTGAAGAGATCAAACAACTTCAACAGCTTCCGAAAGTAGCTCAGCAACTTCCAAACCAACTAAAAATAAATAAACATCCAAACAAAAAGAAATAAAAAATAAAAATTACATACATACCATTAATTTATTATGTATTTACATATTTCATATTTGATTTTTCTTATAATTATTTATATAATACATTAAATTATAAATAATATCATATA